CTTCTCTTTATCGAGCTCGTCACTTTCTTATTCTGGATTCTATTCTCTTTCTCTATAAATCTCAAATCCGGCTTTGTATGGAATACTGTTGCCATATCTGGGGTTGATCTTTTAATGATGCCCTTTCTCTTTTAAACAAGGTGCATAAACGCAATGTAAACAAAGTTGGACTTGCTCTTGTAGCCAACCTTTAACCTCTGTCACATCGTCGTAATGCTGCTTCTCTTTCTCTTTTTAACAAATACTATTATGGGTACTGCTCTAAAGAGCTAGCGTCTCTTGTGCCATCTACTAAAATTCATTATCGTGTTACTCGTCATTCAATTAAGTCTAATCCTTTTTCTGTTACTGTTCCTAAGTGCTCTAAAAACTCTTATTTGTCTAGTTTTTTTCCTCGAACACCTGTTCTTTGGAATTCGCTTCCTTCATCTTGTTTTTCTGATTCATATAATTTGCAATCTTTTAAGTCGTCTGTCAATCGTTATCTTGCTCTACAATCTTCATCCTAAAATTGAGCCGTGAGGAACCCCGCAAGTTATGGAATATGGAGTTGTATTTTTTTGATCATAATATAAAAATTGCTTTCGATTTGTCAGATACCCTTTAAACCAAAATAAGTTTTTGTTTTTCACTCCGTAGTTTTAAATTTATTTTTTTAGAATTTTATTGCAAGCATTTTGGTTTTTTTTAAAACCAAAATGCTTGCAATACTACATGTTGTTCTCAGGTAGATAATTATACAACCTATTATACATTATCCTCTCTAGCAATTTTTAAAATCAAGGTAGTATGGATATAGGTCTGTAGTTAAAGATATTTGACTTATCTCTATATTTAAAAATTGGTGTTATACGGGCAATTTTTAGTTTGTCAGGAACAATACCTGTTATAAATGAAAGATCAAAAACATGAAATAAAGAAGATTCATTGATATAAAATACTGATTTGACAATATCAATGCTAATTTTATCAAAACCTTCATTTTTTTTACTTTTGAGACTGCTAAATGCCGCGCTCAGCTCGCTAAGTTTTAAATTAGTTTTGTCCATAAGTTTTTCATAAGTTTTTAAGTATGAATCAAAAGGAGTGGAATTAGATGGAATTTTAGCAGCCAATTTTGGACCAGTTATAACAAAGTAGTTGTTTAGTTCTTCAGCTATAATAGATTTATCATAAACTATTTTTCCGTTAATAATAAGATTTTTTGCCAAATTTCTTTTTTGTAATTATTCCAATTAAATCCTTAATTACATTCCATACTTTTTTAGTGTTTCCGTTGAGTTTTTTTTAATAGCTAATCATAATAAAGCTTTTTTTAGTATCTTTTTATTTTTTTTACTTTACTTTTGTAATTTTTATAAGTTATTTCATTTTTATAAGATTTGTTTTTAAGATTTTTTTTTACTTTTTGTATAATTTTTCTTTCTTTTTAAAAGATTTTGGTAAGCTTATTGACATCCAGGGATTTTGAAGTGATTTAGTATTTATCATCATTTCTTTTTCTGGAAACGCTATTCCATATTGGCTGCAAAATTGACCAAGAAACAAGTCATAGGCATTGTTAGCATCACTTGATTGCAAAACTAAATTTCAATCAACATTATTTTTTAAACAGCGTTTAAAATGCTATAAGGCGTTTTCATTGATCTGTCGCCAAAATATTGTGTATTTTGTGGCAATATTGTTAATTAAAATGTTATTGGTTGCTTAGAATGTTGGTAAATGATCCGATAAATCAGTCTGAATTATATCTGTGAAACGTGGACTATTATAAAAACTGTTAGTTATGATGTTATCAAGTAGAGTACAAGACATTTTTATAACTCTAGTTGATTTGTTTATTGTTGGAACAAAGTTATTTTCTAAAAGAGTATTTATAAAATTCTTATCATTATTATTAGAAGCATAGTTAATTAGGTTGATGTTAAAATCCCCAACTAAATAAATATGTTTCCTGAGATTTTTAATTTTGTTTAGAAATGTTTTAAGATGATTTTTAAACTTTTTCATGTTACCAGATAGTGGTCTATAAATATTATTTATAATTATATTTTTTTCAGTTTTTTTTACTAATTCAATGCATAATGATTCACAATCTGTTTCATTAACACAGAGGTCATTACGTAAAATATAACTAAGTGAATCGTGGATAAAAATACTATCACCCTCACCTGCATTAAAATAACGTGGTTTGTGAATTGATTTTTTATTATAAATGTTTAAAGCTTAGCTTCTAAACGCATTTTATTTTGGTTTTTAATTTATATATTTTAAATATATTGTGATATCTTCTAAATTAAACTTAAGTTTATTGAAAGCCAACATTAAATAACTTCATCAAACAACACCAACACAAACTGCTGCATCATGAAGCAGCAGCTGAAGTATGATAACAGGTTACCAAAAGCCGGTTAATTGCAATCCAGTCTTTTTTTTTTCTTTTTTATGCCTACTTTTTTTTATGCCAACTAATATGTTACAATTTTTATTTTAGGTTTGTCGTATGACGAAATATAAAAGATCAAAGTTAACAATTTTTTTATAATTTGTTATACTCATGTTTGTAATGTTGAGAATTCGCAACTTTAAATTGTGGAAAACAGTCACTATAATTTAATTATTTAACAGACCGACCATAACCCGTATTACGGGTTACTTTTTGCTAGTAAATATAGTTTACTAACTTTTTTGAACTTTTTTTTATCTTTTATTAAATGCTTTGATTGCTTATGTCGTTTTTTAAAAAAATGTCATTGCAATGTTTTTTTAAAAAACGTTGTGATAAGATAACTTTAAAATAAGATTTTACGCGGTATTTCATTAAAAACTTTATTCTCATTCGCTACGGAGAGAGAAACCACTACGGTTTCTCTCCCCGTCGATTGTCACGCTTGATACTTATGTTACTTATGCAATTTAAATCATTACATAATTGAATTGGGGCTGCAAGTAGATTTTCTGACTAGTTTTACTTGTGAAGTGACAAAATCCTTGTTGGTTTTTTCAAGGTAGTCAAAAGAAAGATCCTTGTAAGTTTTTTCATGGTAGTCAAAAGACTCTTCTTAAAAAAGTCAGCTAATTTATTTTTATTTATTGTATTTTTTTATTTTACCTGGAATAATATAGAGATTTATTTGTCGGATTATTTTTACGTACATGTTACTAGTTTTTTTTTAGTTTTTTTTTTATTTTGACTGGGGCAAGTAGAAAACAAAAAATCTTATCATCAAGCCACTTCTTGAAAATAGAAAAAATAAAATAAAATTTTACAACTTCCAATACTATATAATAGAGTAAAATTTTATTTTAATATATGTTTTAAATTGTTATATTGGCAAACTGAAAATTCATGCAGGCAACGAAAGATTTAAGTAACATAAACATTCTGAGAAAATATTATTGCATCACGACTGATAGTTTTACAATAATTCAGGGCTTTCAAAACGTTCGCCATGTTGCCCCGCTTTCCCCTACGTTTGCGTATGCGTATACATATCCAATATACATAAAAAGGTACATATGCGTAGGGGAGATGGGGGCGCATTGATCGCCGGGGTAGTATGATCTTTTAGCTTTTACTAGTTTACTTTTGCCTTAATTTAACAGGTATTATAATTTAATTAACCATTATATTACTCTTCATTGCTTAATTGTAATAATTTTTGATAAGATCAACATCAGCGTTAAGAAAATTGAAAAGACTGTTTTTCATCATGAAACGTGATTTTTAAAAATTGTAAACAAATTCAAATAAATTTTTAGTTTGATTTCCGTATGACTTTACAACCATTATTTTGTAAACTCATATGTGTTAAGTTTATAATAAATTTGTTTTTTTTGAGTTAATTACTGATTTATAGAAGTTATAGGCATCAGTTTATCAACTATACCTAATGGGACACATTGATTGTTGACTATGCAAGGCTCATTGATCGGAGGATCAAAGTGCCCCATATAACTAATATTATAGAACTTAAATTTTTTGTTTTAATATTATACATTTAAACTTGAGACGAATAAAAAATCTTTATATAAACTTTTAAAATTTCATTTTTAAAATCTAATAGTGTTAAAAACTAATATTAATAACATTAGTTTTTAGCTTTACATAAATTTTACAATTAGTTTACATAAAATTATTATATAAAATATTTTTTTTAAACAATCATTTTGTTTTACTTTTTTTTAAATTTTCAGATCTTTAAATGGTAAGGTATAGAAGAAAAAAAACAAAACAGACAGAGTTGCTATATCATGTGATACAATGAAATCAGCTGTTAATGAAGTTTTAGTGAATTTTTTTTGTGAATGTTGTAGCTCGCAAGTTTAGCATAAATCAAATGGCCTTAAAAAGATTTTGTAATAAAAAGAAGCTCAACCCAAATGAATCTTTTAAGCCTAGTTACGACAATAAACAAGTTGTTACTGCAGAAGATGAAAAAAGTTTGTCAAGTTGTTTACTACTCGCATCAGAAATGAACTATGGTCTTTCAACTAAGTCAACACGAATATTGGCATACGAGTTTACTGTAAAAAATAATACAATTTGCCCTTCATCATGGATCAAAAATAAAATTGCAGGGATTGATTGGTTGCAAGGTTTTATGAAAAGACAATTAGAGTTGTCTTTACGAACACCTGAAGCAACTAGCTTTGCTCAATTTACTGCCTTCAACCGACACACTTTTTTATAATTTTTCTAAAGTCTAAAACCAGTAAGAAATCGATATAAGTTTTATCCTTATTGCATATACAATGTTGATGAAACTGGTTTAACAACAGTACAAAAGTCAGTAAAAGTGTTAGCAGGTAAAGGAAGTAAACAAATAGGAAGAATTACATCTGCAGAATGAGGAACATTAGAAACTGTATGTTGTGCTTCAAATGCAATTGGAAACTCTATTCCTCCACTATTTGTTTTTCTTAGGGTCAAATTTTATGATTACGTGATAAAGGAAGGTTCTCCTAAATGCGTGGGATTTGCAAATCCTTCTGGTTGG